TTCTCCCTCTGACCCTCCCCCCTCTCATGTGCTCTCTGTCTCTGTCATTCTCTCTGTCTCAAATAAATAAATAAAATCTTTAAAAAAAAAAAAAGAAAATACAAGGAACAGAGAGGAACATGTTAATACCTCATGGGTACAATCAACAAAATCCAAACTATGGGAAATTCTACAGAGCAAACAATCCAGTTTCCTTAGAAAAAAATTGCAGAAAGAGGGCAAAAAAATGGAGGGAGAAACCAGAGACAAGAATCCAGGCAGTGAAGAACTGAAAAATAAAAACTTAAAAAACTTTAATGCCAATAATGTATCAATATCGACTAATTAATTCTGTAACACTTTTACACCTGTTGTTGCATTCGTTCATCCAAGAGATCTTCAGGAAGCACTTACTATGGTAAGGACCAGGCACTATATTTCATGTTAATTAACAGTAGTGAATAAAGTAGATAGTTTCTTACTGTCAGGGAACTTAGAACTAAAGGAGGAGCCGAGATAGTAGTAAGTAAGCCAAGATGTAACTTCAGTTTTGTGGTGAGTGCTAGTTAGGGAGTTGCCTACTGAAGTAGCTGGTCAAGGAGGGTGTCTCTGAGGAGAGGTGGTATTGAAGCAGAGACCGAGGGTGAGCAAAGGAGACTGCCAGGTGAGGAGTGTGGAAGGATTGGGAGGTGGGGGGTAGCAAAGCAAGGGAGCTGCTTAGGAGGGGTGAGCAAGGAGTGTTTCAGGAAGTGTGAAGTATGAAGGCCCTAAGAAGGTATCTATGAACTTGCCATTTTCCAGAATCCTAAGTTATAGCAGTAAGTTAAGCCAAGCAGGCAAGGAGAAAAGAAGATGTGAGCCAGAGAGCCAGGCAGGACCCAAATCATAGTTAGAAAGTTTGGGTTTTATTTTTAGTGTAACAGGAAAAGGCCACTGAAGAGTTGAAGCATTGAAAGCCTTCACTATAATTTGCTTCATTGGTTCCCTACAAACATGTGGATTGTTTCCAATTTTGTCACTAACATAAACAAGACCAGAATGTAAGCTTTATGAAAAGAGGATCTTCTGTTTTGTTCACTGAGTAACTCACCTACTCTGTTACAGAGCCTGGCACAAACAGGCTTTCTGAAAATTGTGGTTGAATTAATGAATGCTGCAAAGAATACTTGCAGATCTTTGTATATCACTATCATTGTATATTTCTAGATGTGAAATTGCTGTTTTTTAAAGAGTGTGTATATTTAAATTTCTGCTTCTTAAATAAATTGCCTTCTGAAAGGATACACTAATTTACACACCCCTAAGAGCATTTTTTAATTTAAGACAAAACACTCGTTATTCTTAAGAGTTTGTGTAATCAATAGCTTTGGGAGTGCTGGGTGAGTCAATTCCCGGGATGCTTTGAGATGTTTACAATTCCTGGTCAGTTGTCTTTTTCTTTGAGGCAGCTGGGAGCACGGCCAGTGTTTCTCTCTTTGGCTGTAGGCTGATGAGGGCAGACTGTGTTTCTTTTGTTCACCTCTGTATCCCCAACACCTTAACATAGTGGGTGGCCCATTGTAGCACTCAGTGAATTCTTTAACTGATTTTACTGCCACACACCACCAGAGGCTTCTAAGCCTGCAGTTCATGGAGCAGGGAGGATCCTGAAAACTGGGGTCTTTTTAACATTAATGAAATGAACTCTCAGTGTGTCAGCAGCCCAGTGCTAAAGGGCACGGGTTCTGGAGGAAGTTTGACTCCTGGCCCTACCACGTACTGTCGCACCTCCCATTTTCTCTTCTGTAAAATAAAGATAATAATAGACTCTTCCTAATGGAGTTGTGAGAATTTAATGAATCAGTACATGAAAAGTGCCCGGAATTGTACCTGAATCATCAAACTCAGTAAATATTAAGTATTCTTATGATGGTACTCCTTTGGATCACTGTTAAGCATGTTTTTCTCTCTTATTTTTAATAGCTAGAAGAAAAACTCAAGGAAAAAGTTGATGTAAGTCTGATTGAACGAATCAATCTGACTGGAGAAATGGATACGTTCAGCACGTATGTACCTTGCACATATTTGCTTAAGGCCTGCCCTTTACCCCTCAAAAAGCAGCATGTCTCAGGCTGTCGGCTTTAAGCCACCATGGAACCTAAGAGGTTTCCAGGGCCCCCTGTAGAATCAGGATTATTCTCCAGCAGCCAGTAAGAAGAAGCATTAGAAGCTAGTGCGGCTGCCTCCCATTTGGCCTGCTCAGATGCAGTCATTTTTAGCTTACGGGATCTTTATTATTGCCCTATCTAGAATAACCAAAGGGAAGAAATCCTACCTTGACCATCCCTGCAGGAAGGTCAAGTCCAAGGCCTCCTGTCCGCTCCCCACCACACCCCAGATCCACAGAGGGCCAGCCCCTCCTTCAGTGTCTCAGAACATAAAGTGTGAGCAGGTTGATTTTAGCCAGGTCGGAGGTGGGGGGAAGCGCAGAGAGGGTTGTTGGGGTGGAGAGTGTCTGTCCAAGAAGTTCAGACTGTAAAGCCTTCTCAAAATAGTTCTTTCGCTGGTGTTGCCTTGCGGTATTTTTGTTGTGGTCAGTAAATGAGATTGGGGTAGGCCTTACTAAGGAACATTAGGATTCTCTTCTTAGGTCATTTCCTCTCCTTTTCTCAACTTTTTTTTTTTTTTCAAGTTCTGATTTAAACATTTTGAGCAAACAGGTGCTTTAGGAGTAAGAAGTGAAGGAGGGATTCTGGGTGGAGTGATTAGGGAGACTAGCCATGGAATTTTGTGACCTGACTCAGTGGAGACACACCCAAATAAGACCAGGACATGCAGCAAGAATGAAGAGCCAAAATGCTCCTCATTGTCATCCATTCCCTTTTGAAATCAAACTCAAGTTTTTCTGATGAAATGATGAATCTAATTTTGATACGGGTGCCTAAAAGATTTGGCAGGGGCTGTGTTAGTCATTCAAAAAGTTATTTCTTTGAAGTGATGACCACCATAATTTGTTTGATTTGCAGTGTCATCTCTAGCAGCATCCAGTTGTTGGTTCAAGATCTGGATGCTGCCTGTGATCCTGCCCTGACTGCCATGAGCAAGGTGAGGTTTGGGGAAGTGCTTCTTCTTAGACCTCCAAGAGTGACCCCAAGTGGTTGCTATCAGCCCTGGCCTGTGGCTTCTTCGGGTTCTTCACTGCTTCAAGTGTCAGCTGGGAGAGAATGGAAGGCCTCCAGGAGATGAGTTTATCTTGTGCTTTAGGTCAATTGCTTGTCCTCTGAGAATGAGACAGGCAACAGGTGTGTTTGTTAAGTCTACAGGAGATGTCTTTGTTTAGCATCTGACACATGCTAAAAACCTTAATGTGCTCTCACCAGAATGGGTGTTTTTGTTAGTGCTTCCAGCAGTAACTTCTGACTCTTTCTGAGCTCCAGTATCAGCACAATATTATTTGATCAGGTTGTGGACCTTGGTTTCCTACTGTCGTGCTGGCGCCTCAGTCAGTCTCCATCCCCTCCTGGAGCACCCGCTGCCTTGTGTTATGATTTGGCTTTTTTTTCCTTCCTAAAAGAATGTAAATTCCTGAATTGCATGGACCATACAGGCTATGGAAGACTCTCTTGTTTATTGATTAATTAAGTTGGAAATGGGCAGTTCTTTATTGACTTTTTAATCCAAATAACATGAAGCTGCCCACTCTAGAATTTCTAGAGCAGGGGTCAGCAAACTACAGCCTGTAGCCCAAGTCTTACCCATTGTTTTTGTAAATAAGGTTTTATTGGAACACAGCTGTGCTCGTTCATGTATATATTATCTGTGGGTGCTTCTGTGTTACAATGGCAGACACAAGTAATGCGTAAGTCAGTCATGAGACCATATGGCTCAGAAAGCCTGAAATATTTACTGTCTGGCCCTTTACAGAAAAAGTTTGCCGATGCCCGTTCTCGAGTTATCAGGCCCTTGTAGCATTCTTACAAACTCTGGAGAAAGAACTTCTCTGGAGCATACTGGCCAGTAGCAGAGTACAGTGGAAAAAACACTGGCTTTGGAGTCAGACCGAACTCTCCTCATTCTTCCTTTGGGGGTATTGAGCAAATAACTTAACCTCTGTGGGCCCGAGTGAACTCATCAGTATGTGAAATGCAGCTCTCTGCCTCCCAGTGTTGTGAAGACAGAGCATGAAGAGAGTGACGTGACTGGCCTGGTGCCAACCAGTGTTGGTGCTCTTTCCCTCTTGTCAGGAGGAGTGGCCGTGTCACAGGGTTGTGTAAGCACACATTTGGTCTGAATTTAGTTTTGTAGTAGATTGTAAATATTTAACAAAAATAGGATGAAAACCAAAACTTAAGCTGCAGGGTTTTATGAAGCTAAGTGGGGAGTCCTGAATAGCTGATGTCACAGAGTTTCTATTCAAAAGGTTGATCCTTCCACCAATCAGATGTGGATGTGTTATTTCCAGTATTCTCGGTGTTTATGAGTAGCACATGAGCAGGCAAATTGAGGCTAACCCATTTTCTTAAAGGAACACAGCTCGGAAGATTCATTCTTTGCGCTCTGATTATCCCCTAGCTGCTGGTGAACATTCACTATATCCTGCATGTGATCTGTTCCAGCTGCCATCTCTCCTGAACTGCCACACACTTTAGATCGGAATGCAGCTGGTAAAAGAATTTTACATTTACCAAAAGAAGAGTGGATTTTTTTCCCCAGTAAAATAACAGTTGTAGGGGAGTTTAACACTCCAGGTGTTGCTTATATGAACTGTCAGTTCCTCAGTGGATTTCCCTCACACTCCCCCCACCACCACCCATTTCTCCCCCAGACCCACACCAGCAAATATTAACAGAGACCATACCTCCAGAATCTTTTGTTTATATCATAGGAAAACCACAGACTAGGGAACGCAGCAGCTGGGAGACCATTACTCTTTGTCTGAGTCCTCTGGAGTTCTAGTGAAATGAAATCCTTGTGATGAAAATGACCAGATATAAACAATCCAAGTGGTCACAGATTGATTCAACATACACTCTGTTATTTGTGCCTGCATCCTGTTTTGTGTAGTTTCTTCTAGGATTTTTTAAAACTTCTGTTTGCAGGGAAATGAGAAGTGAGTGCTTATTTTTGTCTCTGATTCCATCGTTTTTGCCACTAGTTGGACAGTTCAATTCAGACTCTACCCAGAACCATGCTGGGAGCTGCAAAGCTGGGAAAGACATGGACCTTACCCCAAAGCACTTAGATTCCAGAAAGTGTGGGGTAAGAGATGTGTGAGATGAGAGGAGTGCTCAGATAACAGGAGTATAAGGTATGGGGAAATCACACCATAAGAAAAGTACAAAATATGCCCTCTTTAAAAGCAGAGGGTTCATCTCTCTGTATCAGGTGGGGAAGCGAAGAAAGCCTTAAGGAAGTGGCATTTGAAATAGACCACAGAGGATGCTGAAGTCTTGAACGAATTTGTGATTAGGAGGGCTTTCCAAACAGGGTGACAATATGAGCAGAGATTTATAAAGCTAGGAAAGCTCAGAACTTTGTTGAAATTGCCAGTCTCGTTACCCAGCTTTGCAGTTTCACAGAGAACTTGCACTTATATAGTCAGGATTGGTAACAGGAGATTGGCTGCCCTTGAGGAGTTTCTATTCTGATGGGGAGAAAACTTTGAATAATTGATGCTGTAAATAAATGGATTTTAGGGGTGCCTGGGTGGCTCAGTCGGTTAAGCGGCTGCCTTCGGCCCAGGTCATGATCCTGGGGTCCTGGGATCGAGCCCCACGTCCGGCTCCCTGCTCAGTGGGGAGCCAGGCTTCTCCCTCTCCCTCTGCCTGCCGCTCTGCCTACTTGTGCTCTCTATCTCTCTGTCAAATAAATAAATAAAAATCTTTAAAAAAAAAAAAAGGTTCTTTAAAAAAAAAATAATAAATGGATTTTATAAATAGTGAGAAAAATGAATGTTGGGCTTGCCCACTTGGAGTGGAATTGTTAGGTGATTCTGAGTTGATGAAAGGAGGCTTCTCTGACAAAATGGGTTGAGCCAAGCAATGTAGTTAGGTCATTCTCCGGGGAAGAGACCCTGTTCTGACCTGAAGGCACCCCATGACCTCCTCCTTGGGCAGCACGCAGGCCTTTCATTATCTGTCCCTTTGCCACCTGGTCAGTTCCGCCACCCCTGTGCATAGACCTATATTCCAGCCCCGGAGCCACTTCTACTTCCCTGAATGCATTGCCTTCTGGGGGGCCTCCATGCCTTTTCTCATTCTGTTCTTTCTGCCTAGAATTCTCTTCCCACTATTGTCTGCCCAATCTTTAAGATCTAGTTCAAAATATCTGCCCCCTTTTTAAACCTTTAGGTATAATTCACATACCACAAAATTCACCCTTTTAAAGTGTATATAATCCAGTGGGTTTTAGTATGTTCCCAAGACTGTGCAACCACCACCACTAATTCCAGAACATCTTCATCACACCAAAAAAAGAAATCTACTCATTAGCACTCACTTCTCATTTCCCTGACAATCACTAATCTACTTTCTGTCTCTATGGATGTACCTATTCTGGACAGATCACATAAATGGAATCATACAGTATGTGGCCATTTGTGACTGGCTTTCTTCACTTAGCCTAATGTTTTCAATGTTCATCCATGCAGTAGCATGTATCAGTACTTCCTCCCTTTTTCTGGCCGAATAATAGTCTATTGTGTGGATATAACACATTTTGTTTATCCATTCATCAGCTGATGGACGTTTAGGTTGTGTCCACTTTTTAACTATTATGAATAATACTATGAATATTCATGTACGGGTTTTTGTGTGGATATGTTTTCAATTCTCACATATATACCACATGTATCATGTGGTAGCTCTATGCTTAACATTTTGAGGAACTGCCAAACTGTTTTCCATGAGTAGCTACACCATTTTACATTCCCACTAGCAATGTACAAGGATTCTAATTTTTCTATATCCTCACCAACGCTTTTTTTAAATTATAGGCATTCTTTCTCATTGTGCTTTTAGTTTGTATTTGTATGTCTTTGATGACTCAGACGTTGAGCATCTTTTCATGTGCTTATTGGGCCATCCGTGTATCTTCTTTGGAGAAATGTCACTTGAAATCTTTGCCCATTTTTAAATTGGGTTGTCTTTTTGTTGAGTTGTAAAAGTTCTTTTATAGTCTGAATACTAGACCCTTTATCAGATATATGATTTGCAAATATGTTCTCCCTTTCTGTGGGTTGTCTTTTCACTTGACTATGTCCTTTGAAACACTAAAGTTTTTAGTTTTGTTGAAGTCCAATTTTTATATTTTTTCTTCTGGTGCTTGTACTTTTGGTGTCATATTTAAGACACCATTGCCTAATTCAGAATTACAAAGACTTACACCTGTATTTTCTTCTAAGCTTTTTATAGCTTTATCTCTTACATTTGGGCCTTCAGTCCATTTTTGAGTTAACTTTTGTATATGGTGTAAGGTAAGGATTCAACTTGATTCCTTTGCATATAGATATACAGACATCCCCGTACCGTTTGTTGAAAAGACTCATCTTTACCCATTGGATGGTCTTGACACTCTTGTCAAAAATCAGTTGACCATATGATCCCAGGGTCCTGGGATCGAGTCCCGCATCAGGCTCCCTGCTTCTCCCTCTGCTTCTCTCTCTCTCTCTCTCTCTCTCGGTCTCTCATGAATAAATAAATAAAATCTTAAAAAAAAAAAAATCAGTTTACCATAGATACACAGGTTTATTTCTGGACTTTCAGTTATATTCCATTGATCTATATGTCTGTCTTTATGCCAGTACTACACTGTTTTGATTATTGTAGTTTTGTGGCAACCTTTAAAATCAGGAAGTATGAGTCCTCCCAAGTTTGTTCTTTTTCAAGATTGTTTTGGCTATTTTGATCTCTTGGAGGGGTGCCTGGGTGTCTCGGTTAAGCATCCAACTCTTGATTTCGATTGAGGTCATGATCTCAGTGTTGTGAAATCGAGCCCCATGTTGGGTTCCACGCTGGACATGGAGCCTGCTTAAGATTCTCTCTCTCCCTCTCCCTCTGTCCCTCCTACCCGCTTTCTCTCTAAAAATAATAATAAATTGATCTCTT